AACCACTGTTCAAAATCGTACTCTCTTAAAACTGTCTTTGATTTCTTTAAAGCAACTGTAGTAGTCCCTCTATCCACATGTGTGTGCAACATGCAGTTTGTTTTAAAGTTTGTCTTTTGCACAAGTTACATCTCAATAAAAAAAGAAACATGGAGGTCTTTTTAAAAACAAACAGGATGGCTGAACCTGTTCACAGTATCTCCACAATAAAGACTGGGCACTACTGCCAATTCCTAACATTTTCTCTGTTCGCTGACTCCACTGAGTCTCTTAAGTTTTCACTTTGATATGATTTTCTCTGCTTCAGTAAACTCAATGAAATCAGTACACTGGTGAAGAACTGAATGAAGACCCATGTGCCATCCCAACAGAACACTTCAGCTATACTACTAAACAGCTGGCAATGCGCTAGCCTGCTAGGTTCGAACAATGACAGCTTTCCTATTGTACCCCTACATTTCATGCCCACATTTAATCAAAATATATCCCAGATAAATGGCAGAACATCTGCTTTGTATGCAGAAGTTTCCAAGTTCAATCCCTGGCATCTCCAGTTAAATGGGTCAGGTAAGTAGGTGTTTATGAAAGACATCTTCCTGAAACTGGAAAGCTAATACCAGCCAGAGTAGGCAATACTGACCTTGACAGACCAATGATCTGAGAATAAACAGTAGCCTCAAGTGGCAAAAATTAACAGGATTGGGCAAAAGCCAGTCCTCTTCAGCACTCACTCCCACACCACAAACTAAGGGGACAGAGATGTAGCTAAATCTGTGGGATTTAAGACTCTTTTTACTGCATTTTACTGTGTATTTTAATAGCACTGTTCTTTAATTTTGTAATTCAGCTTCACTGCACTGTTCATTGCATTTAATTGTTTCACTGCACCGTTCTCCACTCCTATAATTACCTGTATTATACAGGCTGGTTAATGTGTTGTTTCTTTAATTTTGCAATCCAGTTTTGTTATTGTTTTAATTTTCAGTTTTTTGTTGTTTACTGATTTTTGTTATCAGTAATAGTTGCTTGGAAGGTGCCCACATGGGGATAGGAAGACAGGATCAAAATGTTTCGGTACAAATATTCTTTTTTAAAGTAAACAGAAAGTACACACAGAGCAGAAAGGCACCATTTGGAGCCATTCCCTCCAAATAACTCAAACAATAAAACAAAGCTACATGCTGCAGGGATACTTTACAAGTCTCTGGAACTTAACTGTTCTAATTAATTCAGCACTGGTCTTTTCAGAAATCAGATCATTCACATTACTGCCAAAATATTCCACACCCAGAATGCTTGTGTAATGCCTCCTGCAAAGTGTCAGCCTGCATTAGGACTCTGACAGGATTCCAAAGCAAAAAAGAAATCTCTGACTGGGTGGCATCACAGCCTAGGTTACTGTCAAGTTCAAAAAGAATTTACTCCTAATATCTTTCATACTGAGTAGGAATAGTAGCTCGGGAAAGTCTTCATATTCAAGAGTGGATGAAAATGAGGCATTGAGAAAAATGGGATGCTTCATATTGTTCCTCCCTGTGACTTACCTGCACAGAGCCTAGCAATATTTTATTTATTCATTTAGAAATGTATATGCCACTTCACTAGAGACCTGCTTGAGGTGGCTCAGTACTAGAAGAAGACAACAAAACCAAATAAACCATTAAAAAACAAGCCAGGTCATTTCACCACTGGGAAAGCTCCATCTCTGTATACCATCCATCATCTCTCTCCAGCAGGATCACAAAGAGGAGGGCTGGAAAAAAGGATCTCAGCTGGTAGGCTGGACAGTACTGGGAGGTGGCAGTATGTCAAGTACATAATTGTTTTGCACTATGAACATTCAGCAAAAAGTAATTGGGTATGACAGAAGAGCAGGGTTGTACGTTTTAACTAGGTTAACTAGTCGTTTAATTAACTAAAGTTTTAGTTGAAGAGAATTTGAGTCAATGCAGCTGATCAAGTGTACACTTTATTTGCTGAAGTGATTCTAATTTTGGTGTCTGACTACAAGAATAAATACAAATATAATATTAAAAGTAGCACTTCCCTTCTAACAGGAGTAGTTGCATATATTAACTCACATTTCTTTCAGTGCCCCAAAGATACTAGTAATCAGGCTTTGGTAATAATTACATTTAATCAAAAAACTGATCAAAGACTTCACCATTAAAAATTCTTGATCTCATGGTGCCACAATGTTCCCTATGGTTGCATTCTCTACAGATATCATAGTCCAAGAATGCCCCTGCAGTTTTTCATCCCAGTAAAACATGGTATGAAAGGGAGAAAACAAGGGATACAGCATAGGCCAAGAATTATGTGTCCTCAAATAACCAGATTATGAAATCATACTGAAATTAGCAATTCCAACTAGCACAAAATAAGGACCACACTTGAAAATGCTTAGAAACTGTCTTTCATAGAAAAAAAATACCAGAAGAATAAGGAAGTTCTAGAATTCCAAACTGCCGAAATTTCTTCTATACTTCATTTTCATAAACTCCTAAAATCTTCAGACTTTGAAAAGTGCAGGGTGCAGCTTGAAAAAGTGAGGCTTTCTAATATAACAGCTGTGGAGAGATCATATCCATTTCTAGGAATGTCCTAAATGAGAAGTTTGCAAACTATGAAATGTTTTTTTAAAAAATATTAATAAGCCAAATGCTATCGAGTAACAACATCTGCAAACTGAGGAATGCCATAAATATCTACTGGGATGGAGGAACACTTCCGTTTCCTGCTAGGTTTCCAGATGCAGCTTCTCAGTCTCATCCAGAAGGAAAGGGAAATCTGGGGAACAGTTGAAGTAGATATAGTATCCAGTAATGAAAAGCAACACACAGAAGCTAAACATCTGCCTTCAGATCACCCCAACTCTGGCTATATTTTGAAAAGCAACAGAAAAGCACGTGAAAATGAACAAACCTCTGATTGTACATGCCTCGAAAGTTATAATTTGCTCTGTAGTTGGGGACTGGCTTTTGATCTAACGGTCTATAGATGGCAGGCTCTCCCCTTTTCATGGCAAGACCATTCAATTCCACTGTCGGGGTAATACTGCCTGTCAAAAGAAAGAACAATAAGAATGTAACAACCATGCTATACATAAAAAAGACCAATCACACCTTTAAAAACTTTTATAGCTATAAACTCTTAGGGATCAGAAAACACTGAAGACTTATACTGGGAGTTATGGAGACAGAGGGCAATGGCTCCTTTAAAAGGAAGCCCAAATACATATTTTTCCATACATGACTTGGGATTTCTGTCTCAGTTCAAATGTTACACTTAAAGCATTACCATACTGGAATTGTTTATTTGGAATTGTTTATTTTAAAAATGTAATGTATTGTGTGTTCCACAATAGTAACACCTGAAATACTATCAAATGCAACAACAACAACAAAAACTTGTTTCAGAAGGGCACTTCCACTGGCAGAAGACCAGGCTGATTTCCAGTTATTCCATTCACCCACTGAAGACCTCATTCTTCCTGCTATACTGTTTCTTAGGGTCCCCAAGAATAGAGTTTCCAGGGGCTCAATGAGGGAGAGACAGGAAAATCTCTCTCCACGTGCTTCACTTTGGTCACAAAATCTCACAGGAGTCAAGGCAGAAAAAATTCAGAGAAACAGGTTCAACATTATTGACTGCATAAAATAGTCTTACATTTAGGAATTGTATAATATCTGAAGCTTCCTATATGTACAGTAAGCAGGCTGATAATCACTCAGAAAGGCCCAATGACTGAACAGGTGTTCCTTCATTCATCACAGTTCTTTGACCTTTGACATCTGGACAATATATTGGTCTGAGTAAAACAGAAAAGTTGCCCTCTGAAACTAACTGCAATGTTCTCTGCTTGTACAACTTTTAACAATCTTGCACATCTTAATAATCTCTTAATAATCTTCTACAATCGTAAAAGGTGATCATCTCACTTTGGCAAAAAACAAACAAACAGAAAAGTGGTATTAACATTAGTGGTGCTTTATGATCAGTTATATTAACTGTGACAATTTCTATAACAAATAGAACACAAGTCAAGACTGGCATCTTTTTTAGAAATGGTATGTTAAATCTAATATGAATATTGCTTATTATTATTTAGGAACACTGAATCAAACCATGGGCACTGCAGCCCTCTGCTGGACAACTAGTAAAATAATATGAACAGCAGGTTTGAGAGTCTTTGCTCTCAACATCAAGAACAAATATCTGAATTACGCTTGTTTCCATGCTCACTCCCTCCTCACCAAGCATGCAGAACATAACTGAAGGCTTCCTAGTTTCAAAAGCCTTGAAATAAAACCCCAGTTTGCTGTAATGTCTGATCACAGGGCCCTGGCAAAACTAAAACTTGGTTCCTTCCCACAAACCACACGGAGCTTCAGGCTTGATTATGCAAAAACTCTTCCTATTTTCCTTTTCCGCTCACATACAGTGAGTTTATAAGCAACTTCTACTTTCACAACAAACCACAGTTTAGTAATCCATGTGAAACAGTGAACACTAATTTCCCCATCGTAGAAGGCTTGACTACTACCCAAGTAAGTGGAGGCTACCACATTATGGAAGAGCCTTCTCAGTGGTGGGCACTGCATTATTGAACAGTCTCCCAGATGAAGTAAAGCCCCCCCCCACTTGCTTGTATTCTGAAGAATGTGTAAAACTCAGCTTTTAAGAGAATTTTTAGTACCCCCGGAGAGAAAATATGGATGATATCTGTGAGAACAATAAAGTATGTTTCTCGGGGCCTCACTCACAGATCAGAAGTTTTTTCTTACTATTTTGATCATTTGTTTGTATCATTGTATTGGATTATTGTTTTAATTTATTCTAGCTTCCTTGGTTTCCACTTCAGTGTGGAAAAAAGGGAGGTCACAAAGAAACAAACACACAAATAATCCTAAAAGGAGTTTTGTGGCACCATAAAGGTTATAAGATTTATTCCGGGCTACATTTTCACTAACTAAAGCCCACTTCATCAGCTATATGTAATGTATCATGCAATTCATGCATTTAATAAAAGTGACCTCGATTCCACAGAAGTTTCTAACATAATAAACCTTTAGTCTTTAAAGGGCCATAATACTTTTGATTGTTTGCTTCAACAGGCTAGCATGGCTAGTCCTTTGACATAATCCTAGTTTGGAATCCTGGTTTACAGAAAGAGTACATGATTTGTTGCCAAGGTGTAACAGCAAACTACGGTTTGCCACAGCCCACCACATAAGTGGAAGAGAGAAACAGCATTCATGTAGTCAACCTGAAGCACCCTCTAGAATTGTTTGTGTAGCATCAAACCACAATCTGCCATTATGTTGGAACCATGTCTGTGTTAAAAGTATAAAACACAAAGGCATGATCTAGCCAAAGCCAAGTCCAGAGAATTCTCTGTGGAAGTTCTAAGCATGTGCTTAACTCCCCTACTTAACTCTCCTACTGAAATAAAAGGAACCTAAAGCACTAAATTTTGGATGACGTCCTAAATAATTTACATTAAAAACAATATAATACGCGCACAAGAAGAACTGCTATAATACAGACTTAAAATCCTCATTACTCAGACCTAATCTCTGAGCCTCTAAAGTAATTATTAAGGTTAGTACAATGCATTGGGCAAATAGTGTAATAGCAAAACATTTGATTTTTCATCAATTTGTAAACATTCCATGAATGTTCTGAAGGTCTGATTCAACTATATTCTCTTCTAAAATGTGGGGAAATTCTATAATATTCACAGAGCAAATGTTAAAGTTCTATAGTATTATTTTATACACAGACACTTCAAACCCAGTCTTTTCAGATCTTGGAAGCTAAGCCGGGGCCCTGGTTAGTACTTGGATGGGAGACCACCAACAAAGTCCAGGGTCCCTGCACAGAGGCAAGCAAACCACCTCTGAATGTCTTTTGCCTTGAAAACCCTACAGGGTCACTGTAAGTCAGCTGCAAACTGACCACACTTTCCACCACCTGTCATGATGTTGCCTACTAAGATGTTTTCAGTCACTCAAATGGACATCTATTTTCTCATCACTGCGACCACAAGAGGAAGGATAAAAAGCAGCCAGGCAGCCCTCCATCCTGCATGCACACAGTTCCAACTGTGTGGCCAACCAGATATTAGATTTATTTAAATTCACTTACTAAATGTGCATGGAATCGATTGGGACTATGGTGGAGGAGAGGGCTGAGCCCTACCCAAATTAAGCCCCCTGCATGCCTGGAAAGTGGATTTAACCTGCTGAGAACTCCCACCACAGAACTCATTTTGGATTGTCTCATCAAGGTATACTTTCTTTATATACTGAATACAAAAATATAAGAACATTCTAATCAGAATTTTTGTATTCAGTATATAAAGAAAGTATACCTTAACGTGGTGAGGGAGTTTGTGTGTGTCAGTGAAGCTGAGAACAATAATGTAAGGAATTTAGACTTTGTTAAGAGGCTAATCTCCTAGCAGAGTCACTCAAAGAGGAATGGTGACAGCTGAGACACCAGACTAAGATGCATCCACCCCCTTCAGGAATCAGTGGCCACACCAGCAGAAGAGAACGGGCAATTCCAATGGTGATGGGGGCAGAGAAATCCTTGAAGGGTACCTAGGCAGCAGCAGCAGTAGTATAAAGTGACACTGGGGATTGATCATAGACAACAGCAGTGACATTTCAGCTAATCCTGGTTAGTACTGAGCAGAAGAAGGCAATGGTAAACCACTTCTGATCATCTCATACCTTGATGAGACAATCCAAAATGAAATAAGGTATAATGCTAGAAGATGGAAACCCCAGCTCCTGGGGAAAAGCAGAGGACAAGGACAAGTAGCAATACTCTTAATGACACACCTGAATTGAAGCAAAAAGGACATTCGGTTGCTGACGTGAATGGATGCAAAAGGAAAGTTCAAAGCTGTCCGACACAAATAATAGGAACACAGAATATGAGAAATATGAATCAACGTAAGCTCGAAAACTCAGGAAATAACAAACACAGAAGAAAAAGAGTTGCTCTAATAGTGTGGCGAGATGAGGCACAAGCCATCAGGGGCTACAATGCAAAGTCTGACTGACTAATATAAGACTTCATGGAAAGAAGAAAAAGAGTAGGATTTATACCCCGCCCTTCACTTGGAGTCTCAGAGCGGTTTACAATCTTCTTCCCTTTCTCTCCCCACAAAAGACACCCTGTGAGGTAGGTGGGGCTGAGTGAGCTCTGAGAGAACTGCTCTTGAGAGAACAGCTCTGAGAGAACTGCAACTGACCCAAGGTCACCCAGCTTGCTGCATGTGGAGAAGTGGGGAATCAAACTGGTTCTCCAGATTAGAGTCTGCTGCTAGCCAGTTTGGAGTAGTGGTCTGATTAGAGTCTGCTGCTCTTAACCTCTATACTAAGCTGGCTCTCAAACACATTTCAGCCAACTAGACAGACAACTGTACATGTGGACATCACTGGACACCAATACAGAAATCAAATTGATTACATAATCAGACACAGAAGATGGAGAAGCTCTATTCTCCCTGCTAAAACAACACCAGGAGCTGATTGTCAGACAGACTATGAATAGCTAATGTAAAAAATTAGAATAAAGCTGAAGAAAAACAACAAAAGATTCATAGTGCCAAAATACAATCTAAACAAAATATCTGAAGAGTTTAAAGACTATGTAAAGAACAGATTTGCATTACTAAGTTCAAGTGAACAGGAACTGGAAGAAATATAGGTTGAAACCAGAGATTTTATCAAGGAAGAATGCATGAATTCCTGTAGCCAAAAGAAATGAATAGCCTTGATGGATGACTGAGGGAAACTCTTAAATTGCTAAAGATAGACAAGAAGCAAAAGTGAAAAGTAACAGAAACAGAAGTCTAAGTGCAGCATTCCAGTGACTAGCACATAGAGACAAGGAAAAAGAGAACCATTATAATAACCAGGTAAAGGAATAGACAAGAACAACAAAAAAGGAAGAACAAGAGAGCTGTTCCACAAGATCCGAGAAATCAAGGGGAAATTTAAAGGCACAGTTAGGCATGCTGAAAGATCAACATGGAAATAAACT